AAAGAAACCTTCCTGGCCACTTAGAAAAACAAATAACCAAAACCACTGTTGGTTAGGAACCTTGAGCATTTCAAAGTGTCAATATTCTTGTACTCTTTTTGATTGGGTACCAGTGTGATCAAATGAGATGGACAAAATGAATTCTGAAGGAAGACTGAGAAAAAATCAGATCATGATCTATCTTATGAATTAAGGAAAATAAGTCCTTATAAATAGGAGGGCGAGGGGAACAGGGGTGAAAGACAAAACACAAGCCACATTCCAAAAGAATAAAAAGGTCTTATATATTAGCAGGTGGAGTTAAGAATAATATATATTTTAAAAAAGTACATAAAAATGTCTGTCCAGAAAAAGTCCAGCCATTGTTAATATAATGAGAACGGTTTGCACAACATCGATGTAACCTGGCAGCCAAGGAGAGTGGACTGGAATGTGCATGTGTGAACAAATGATGGCTTCACTGTACTAGTGAGTGGGGGTGGTAGACACACCATTAAGTGAGCGTGTGTACTGTGTGGCCGATACATTCAAAATGACTGAGCAAGTACAGCAACAAGTCTGCATCAAATTTTGCATTAAGCTTGAACATTCCTCTGCAGAAACCATTCCAATGATTCAAAAGGCCACAGCTATGGGCAACTGCCGATTGGCAGCTTCACCACGACAAAACACCCACTCATGTATCATGTCTCGTGCAATTTTTTGGCAAAACATCAAGTCACCCAGGTGACTCAGATCCCTTACAGCCCAGATATAGACCCTGCAACTTCAGGCTTTTCCCAAAACCAAAATCACCTTTGAAAGGTAAGGGATTTCACACCATTAATGAGATTCAGGAAAATATGAAGGGGCAGCTGATGGTGACTGGAAGAACTGTGTGAGGTTCCAAGATGCCTACTTTGAAGGGGACTGAGGGTCACTGTGATATATACAATGTATCTTGTGTCTTCTTCAGTAAATGTCTCTGTTTTTCATACTACATGGCTGGAAACTTTCTGGACATAACTTGTATATATGCATGCTGGGGCTCTTCCAGTTCTTAATTCCTGGTTAATTCAGCAACTATGAAAAAACCTCAGCTTTACTCATGCTTCTGTGTGCTCCCCCCATTCCCAAATTTAATAGTTAGATGTGGGCAGGAGGTAAGATTTAAGCTTCATCAGTCTTACCTATCACCACATAGCTGTCAACTTGTGAAAATGAAAATGTGGAGGAAAAAATACTTTAAGAAATAAATTGGCAAAGAAATAGCTCATCAGCAAGCCCTGTCAGCTCTACCTACAAAATAGACTCCTAATCTTTACACTAGTTCTCTTGTCTTTCCTCTAGATTACTAACTCCAATCAGGGTTTCTCTGCTGTTCACTCTCCCTCTGCCCTACCCAATCTCTGAAAAACATCTAAGAGATCAGGTCTTTCTGCCCAAAGCTCTCCAAAAGCTTCTCACCACACTTACAATAAAACACAGCTCCCTACAATGACCGTGAACCTCCTATCCACGGCCAGTACAACCTATATAGTATGGGCCTTACCTACCTCTCCAACTTTATCTCTCTCCCAGAACTCTGAAGGTCACTATGTACTCTAACCCCAAAGGCCTTCATTCTTGCCCCCAATTATACCAAGCTCCTTCCCACCTGGGCTGTTTCCTGGACTTGGAGTGCTGTGACCCCAGGTTTTTCCATGGCTGACTCCTTTATATTCAGGAGCAGCCCCAACAACCCAATATAAAGTTACACCACCACCACCACCACCACCACCCACCACCCATACACCCCACCACACACCCACTACCATCCTAACATCCTGTTTTGTTTTTATAAATTTACCTCTGAAATTATGTTGCTCATTTATTTGTACTGTGTAACAACCTGCACCTCCTCCTCCTCCAACACACACACATACCCTTGCAGGGAAACTCCTTGGGAAAGTGGATATTCCTTGCCACATCCCCAAAGCCTAAACAGTGCCTGGTCTCCAGAAGATGCTCACTGTTTATCAAATGATAGATTCCACCTATCCCAAACTTTCCCAAATCTTGTTTCTGTCTTGTATTTGCAGCATTTGTTCGCTATCACTTCTCCTTGGTCTGTTTGTTCCCATTTTGGAATTTCTTTTGGTCTTCATTCTGCTTATTGCAACACTAAGGAAACCAGAACAAGGAGCATAAAAAGAAAGATGTTAACAGTAATAGAAACCCACTCAACCTATGCTACTGGCAGCAGGACAGGCCAAATAAAGTGTAGCAGCATCAAAAGGAATTATGGTGTTGGCCTGTCTGTGGCCTAAAAAAAAGTATCACATGCCCTATGGATACCCAGCAGTTCTCAAAAACTTTTAAGCAAAAGATTCAGATGCAGTAGGTTTCCATATGACCTGGAAATCTGCACTTTCAACCAACACCCCCAGGAGATTCTGATACAGACAGTCTTTGGAAACCTTGTACTCTTTGGCAAAACAAGGAATAGCAAGGGCCTGAAAGACGGTATTATCAGTAATGTGGTTTAACCAATAAAATTTGTTTTTTAATTTCTACTTTGAAACATTCTCAAGACGAGTCAAATTCCATTTTAATTTTTGCTGAATACAAGGGGGGACCCAAAATACCCCCAGAATTTATTTATTAAAAAATTGTGTATTTATTCTTACACGTTTAAACTGTAGCCAGCTTCAAAGTACTCTTTATGTGATGGAATACACCAACAGAGACCACTGCTCAAAACAGTTTTTTGAACATTTTGATGCCTTTTAGTGCTTCTGCTCTTTTTTGTTTCACAGCTTCCACATCAGAAAAATGTTTTCCTTTTTTCACCCTGGGAAACAAACAAACAAAAGTCTCTTGGGGTGAGATTAGGTGAATGCAGGGGTCATGCAGTTTTTTGGTCAAAAACTGCTGAACACTCAGCACTGTATAAGCAGGTGAGATTGAAAATCACCCATCATGATACAGGCAAAAGTGCTGAGTCATCAAAAAAAATTCACTGAAGCCAAATGCAGCCTCTCACAACAATGCCAGCTATTGCACTGATACAGGTGGGTTCCTACGACACTCACGTAGTGGGGGACACCTGAACTCTATGGGGCCCGCCTTCCACAAGATAATTCTGGGTTGTGGGGAGGATCCCCCTCGTATTATTTAAATTCATTGGTCTTTACAGTTCTTAACCATTTTTAAACTATAGTAATAGCTACTATTATAGGACAGCGACAATGTTCTACATGGTACTACCAGTGTTTTACACATATTACTCCATTTTATAGATGAGCTTCAGTTAAATAAGTACAACTATTAAGAAGTGACAGATTCAGAAATCAAACACATCTGTATGAGTATGTCACTAAAGTTTGTGTTCCATGGAGTCTATACCTACCAATAATTATACTTTAATAAAAGTAAAACTAATAAATAAAAATCCAGATTTGTAGATGAAGAGAGAAGATTTTTCTCTTACATATTCCTCATTTTTAGAAACAGACTGCCTGGGATTTCATTTCATGGTGAACTTTGACAGTACATTCAAATACCTTAAAAATGGCATGGCAGCCTCTGAAAATGAATTAATCTTGAAAGTTCTTTTCTAAAACAAATAATCACCCTACCAAAATCACCAAATATTAGGACCTGATTCACTATTTAGAGGTCTAATAGTGGGTCTCAAACTGGGCTGATAATCAAGAATCATTTGGAGAACAGCTTAAAAGTTCTAGGCTTCATAGCAGTTCTGAATCAAAATCTCTGGGGTATGACCACCCCCCCAATCTTTATTTTTATAAAGCTCCCCATGGGCTTCTGATGAGTGACCAGGCCGCAGAACTGTTACCCTAACCCCAGCATTCTACAAGTGAGTAAATTGAGGATCTAAAGACATAAAGTAGCACAGTAGGCTGGAAAGTCAATATCCTCCACATCTGGTGCTTTTAACACCAATTCGTGCTACTGGTTTTGCTTAAACTGTATGTCCTGCTGATTACTAGCCATCCTAATGGAATTTAGTCCCTCATCTGCAAACTGGGAATAATAGCGCTTATCTCTTAAGAGTTGCTGTGAAGATTAAATAAGGTAGTGCACTTAGCACAGTGACTAGCATTATATAGGTTCATGGTGTTCATTATATAGCTCCCTAAAAAAAAGCACGCCGTTTTTAACTGAAAAAGATTTAATAATCCACTCCAATTACGAAATGAACAAGAAGTCTATGTTTAACTTTGGAAGTCCAAAGGAACTTTAAAGTCCTGATTCTCACACACCATTGTTTCTTACAGAATGCCTCAGAATCATCTAGTGAATCAATCTGTGTGTTGCGACCAGTATCCCGTATTTTTACAGAGCTTCCTCCCCTTCCTCCCCCGCCCCCCCTTCAACCAGGTTTTTTTAGGCAAACCAAGTTTTGATAAACATTAATGTACAGATTCGGTGACCACAACAAATGGCCTCCTGAGTCCCAGCAAAAAACTACTGTGCTCTGTAACCAGAACAGCAGCGTCATCAGACTCTGATGCAAACAACAGCTGGGGACAGCTGTGCAGAGTAGTCACTGGGGCCACCAGGGAAGGCCTCGACCCTCTCATCTAAGAAACAAAATATTAGGAGAGTGCTATCGTAATGCCAGTGGCAGACAGTGCTGCGTAGGAGGCCATGAGGCGCTGAAGTTAACTAAACACCTTCCTTCCTAAGAGCGAGGCCGGAGGAAAGCAACCCTGGATGGCTGACCAAGCCCGCGTGGCGTCAAAAGGTTAACAACCTCTCGGCCTGTTCCTCGGAGTGGCCGAAAGCCTCCACCACACTACAAGCCACCTGCCGGAAGTGCGTCACCCAAGCCTGCAGGGTGTGCCGGTAATTGTAGTTAACTTGACTATTTCTCTTGCTCCCTGGTTCTTTATCAAATACGCAAACACCTTGGAACTGCAAAGAAGGTCGCTTTATGACCAGCAAATCTAATCCTCTCCTTTTCCAGCCGACAAAGGAAACTCTCAGCGCTTGTGCCGAATTCTGGACTACAAGTCCCAGCATGCTGCGCAAGGCGCTCGGAGCGCCCGGCCACCGCCGTAAGTGCGGGCCGCATCAATGGAGCGTCTAGCGTAAAGCAAAGCCTGCCACGGTCCGCAAGGCCGGTACCTGCTCCAGGATCGCGAGTGCCGGGTGTGGGCCGTGCGCGTGCGCGCCCAGAAGGGGCGTGAGGCGGGCGCGCCGGGTCGTTGGGAGCGCGTGGCTGCTGAGGTTAGCGGCAACGGTATCCCGAGCGCTACAAACCGGTAGTTGCGGGGCCTCCCCTCTCGCCGGGGCTGCGCGGAGCCCTGGCGGCCACTGGGGACCGTAAGGGGCGGAGGAAAGGAGGGGGCAAGCTTCGGCACTCGGAGGAACAGCCGAGCATGCCCCGAGACAACATGGCCTCCCTAATCCAACGGATCGCTCGCCAGGCGTGCCTCACCTTCCGAGGCAGCGGGGGTGGCCGCAGCGCTTCCGGCTGCGGCGGCCCCGAGGCGCCGATGCCGCAGGGCTTCCCGGAGAACCTTAGCAAACTGAAGAGCCTGCTGACCCAAGTCCGCGCTGAGGACCTGAATATCGCCCCACGCAAAGCCACGCTGCAGCCGCTGCCGCCCAACCTGCCACCCGTTACCTACATGCACATCTACGAGACGGACGGCTTCAGCCTCGGCGTGTTCTTGCTCAAGAGCGGCACGTCCATCCCGCTGCATGACCACCCAGGCATGCACGGCATGCTCAAGGTGCTCTACGGCACCCTGCGTATCAGCTGCATGGACAAGCTGGAGGCAGGCGGCGGGCAGCGGCAGCGGACCCCACCCCCAGAGCAGCATTTCGAGCCTCCGTTGCAGCCCCGGGAGCGGGACGCCATCCGGCTGGGGGTGCTGCGCTCGCGGGCCGAGTACACCGAGGCCAGCGGCCCCTGCGTCCTTACGCCGCACCGGGATAACTTGCACCAGATCGACGCTGTCGACGGGCCCGCCGCCTTCCTGGACATCCTGGCTCCGCCCTACGACCCCGACGATGGCCGGGACTGCCACTATTACCGGGTGCTGGAACCCGTCAGGGGCAAGGAGGCCTCCGGATCGACCTTTGACCTGCCCCGAGAGGTGTGGCTCCTGGAGACCCCGCAGGCTGATGACTTCTGGTGCGAGGGGGAGCCCTATCCAGGTCCCAAGGTCGTCCCTTGAAGCAGCGAGCGCCCGGTAGCGGTGGGCCGAAGACGTGTCCTACTCAGATCAGGGCCTGGCTGCCAGCGACCCACCACAAGGGCTCTCTCCCTACTCCCAGGCCACCTGGGCATTGGATCTACTGAAGTGGACTGTAGCCGCTTCCTCAGGAGTCTTGGGAAGCAGGGCAACTGGACTGAAGCCACCTGGCATGGTTATGGGGGCGGGGTAGGCGGGGAGGCTAGGTTGTTTCCTGGCTTGCTCACTGCCACCAAAGTTTTGATTTGAGGGGAGGCGAGCAGGGTACTATCTGAAGCGCTTCCATCCTAAAGCCATAGTGAAAATATTCTTCCCTCTGTTCCCCATTCTGTACAAAATACACTGAAAGGTTTTTCTCCCTCCGCCTTGGGTAAATAAGGTTTATTTTCCGCTTAAGTCCTTACGCTCTTTTCTCCATATTACAGTTTTAATTTATTGACTCTGCATGACCCAGTGGGTTTGAGTTGTTTTTAGTTTGTCAGGTCATTGGTTAAAAATTAGGTTTAAAGAGATGAGCTACTGTTTAAAAGTAAGCTGCCCTGTCTGATTAACTCGTTGTGAAATTTAAATCATTCTTCCAGAGTTGGGGGATCATCCCCAAAACAGAACTATGCATGTAGGGGATAAGATATTCTTTCCTCCCTTTGCCCAGTAGCTACATCTGGTTTATTCTAACAGCAGTGACTAAGGAATTCACACCTACATATTTCAGTGACAAATTTTCACATAAAGTCTATCTTCCCTATGAGTCTCCAGATTTGTGAGTTGAGCAGATTTCTTGTTGCAAATTCACCTTCAGTGCAAAAACTATATTGTCCTCGTTACTTTTTTTGTCATGGTATAGGAAGTGGTAGGGTAATTTTGTGTTTTCTAACCAGAAGATTCAAAGATGCTGAATCTGTATGCTTCCAAACAACTGAATGTAAAACACCCCTAGCCAACTGTTGAATTCCATGTCCTTGTGTACTTCCAACAATGTTAACGACTGTTTTTAGATTTTCTCAGCCATATTCTTCCAGAGAGCTGGTGGTTCTAGCTGTGTTGTTGGTGGCTCTGTTCTCAGAACCCTCACCCTCAAACTGGAGAGCCAGTGATAGCTTCATCTAGTGTGGTTTTCTATAGGAAAAGAAAAGGCACTGGTGATCCAGCCTACAGAACTGAGAATTAACTATACTGCTGGCCGTTTTAGGATTTAAAAACTCGGGGCAAAATACTTCCCACTCCCAGCTTTAACAGTTGTGCTATCTGTGACTAGTTTTATTTTTTGTCAGTTTTATAAGCTGAGCAAGTGGACCTTGTTTGAAACACTGACACCATTTGCTTCAGGCCATGGAGCATTATTGTTTTCTTTCTTTTTACTATTTATAGGATTCCTTTTTTCCACAGACTTTGAGTTAAAACTAGAAATAAACACATTAAAATTTGCCCAGCTGTCATCTAAGCCCTGTTGATTGTCTTGCCCATGTGGCAATCCAGTTCTAATATCTGTAATACAGGGAGATTTGCTATCGGTGGAAAGTGTGGACCCTTTAGGAAAAAAAGTACGTGCCTTTGCTTCTTTATGCATACTGGGTCACAGAGGCCCAGAGTGAAGGGATATTTGTTCCCAATTTTTAAAATAGAGTGAAAAAAGATAAATTCTTGATGAATGGTGTTTGTTTTGTTTTTACAAAAAAGATGCTTATTGAAGGTGACATGCTACTATGTTATAACACCTGACACAGACATAATGCCAAGAATTTTCTCTAGGGTTACTAATGTTTTATGGTAGCTTCACTTTGTGGCGTGGTTTAATATGCCTTGGGGGCAGTTTGAAGTAGTTCAAGTATTCAGTTTGAAAATAAGTTTTAGTTATGCAAATGATGATTTTCTTAGAAAAGTTGTCATCAAATGGGCATTTTTCATAGCACAGTATGAACATGTTTGGTTATTGATCACATGGCTACCTGTTTTGAATTATATTGTAACAAAAAGATGATAAACTTACTAAGATTGTGGATAGTAATGTGCATGTTATAATACAGCCTAGGGTATAGTAAATTAACCCACAAAAACTCATTCTGGTAATAGGGCAGTAATAAAGGAGAAATATTTTTTCCAAACTTCTTTATGAAAAGTTTTAAAGTTCTCAAGTACAAGCAAATCGAATGAAAACAAAACAAAACAAAACTAAGGTGCTTTTCAAAAGAAAAACTGAAATTGTTGCAGGCCAAAACAGCAATATATCTCTAGTTCAAAAGGAACAGTGACACTTTTGGTTCACTAATAAATTTTGAATAAATTAATGCAGATCACAAAATGTAACCTGTTTTAGTGAGCCACTAAGAAAAGAATATTCTTACTACAAAGACAGAAGTGCAAAACCTGCACCTTTCTGCATAAACTGTCATGACTATCTTTATGTGCTGCTATTGTGTTTCCATGTATTCCTGCAATATAGACTGTTTTAGTAACAACTGTGGGAAAAAGTTGTCTTCCCTCCAAAGACTAATGAGCACAATGATACTCATCACAACTTTCCTGTTGAATATCATGCAATAACTTCCTCTGATGGGTAAGAAATTGTCTGTCTAAATACTTCTAAAGCTTTTTAATTTTCTGGTTATATCAGTGGCCACTTACATGAATGGAGAGTATTGTATCTACCTACTACTATAAGAGAATTGATTTTTTACTGTCTGATTTGCATGGATTGAGTTTATACCAGTTGCTGTTTATTAATGAAAATGGTAAGCCTCTTTTTAAAGTAGTATGTGTTTGTCAACAGGAGTGGGTTCTTTTGACTTTTTAACACTAGTACCCCTTAACTCCTCCCAAAAGCTTCTCCTTTTGTTCCCCCTTTTGCTTGTCCCCTTGTAGGTGCCTCAGTCTTGGCATCCCAGAAGGACTCTCTCATCACCCATCTGTTCCAAACGACTTTGAAATTGTGCTACGGCTCTACTGCTCAGTGAAGAAGCAATACATCTTTAATTCAGGGCTCTGCTCACTGCTATTCAGCTCTAAGAACCTGAGGGCAGTAACACTCATGTAACTCTCCTGGGCTGAACTAAGGACCACTGATCCCTTTAGAACAGAGGCATCTACTGTCATTGAAGAAAATCATTTGTTAAGCCCCATATAAATACTGAATCTTCAGATCCAGGGATGTTTACATTTCTGGATTAAAATCAGTGTACTTATGGAAAATAAAGGTATGCTTGAAATTGTTTAGAGGTAAATCTTATTAGTGCACAATGGAGAAGGGAAATACTGCTATAGTGACTATATTTTAATTACTGTTAAAGGTTCATGGTCTGTCTATACTGTAAGATGATGTGCTAAAAACTGGTGACCTGCAGATTCTAAAGTTTATTTCCTTGAGAGTGAGCTCTGAAACATCTGAAACTATTTAATGCTTAATCCTACTATTTTGCTGCAACAAAATACCTTTTCATTTAACCTAAGGAAAATAAGCTAGTTCAAGAAAAAAATACTTTCATCCACACAGGAAAGAATCTTTAGACTTAAAAATTTTCTTGTCCTTCTACTGTTAAATTTGTTGGGACTGGAGGCATTTTAGGCACTTGGAGTGATGCTGACCATTCTTACACACACACACATACACACATTGTTTGGACTGTTAAAAAATACCACTACAGTCATTTTTAACATTTACATATCCAACAAGGTGGCTTAGTTCCGTTAGCAGTTAGGATATTGAAATTAAATAGCCTGGTGTATGAATAATTTAAAAGCTTATTTAGATTTAACAGACCTATTTTTAATGTGCACTGAACCATCTCAAGAGATGCATTATGGTCGTTTAAGAGTTAACTCTCCAAAAGTTTAATAAAGAATTCCCAGTAGCAGCTGAAATATCAATAATTACTCAATAAAGCATTGACTGTAATAAGGAACAGATTGACTTTATATGCTTTATTTTCTTGAGCAAGTAAAAATGAGACACCTGTGAAAAGTACCTGAATCTTTCAAGCCAAAAATAAAATCTGATTCAAGATTGTTGAAATCGAGGAGTAAAAGCCACAAGTTTGAAACCACACCTTGCTGTATATTTTACTACTTGACCCTGCCAGTGTCAGAGTAAATGTAATTATGTAACCAATTTGACTCATAAAATGTACTTTTTAGTTTGTTGCTTTATAAATTGTTGACTTCTTGACAAGCTGCTCTGAAATTAAAATGTCACAAGACAGTTACAGATCTTAAAAAACTTAGGTGCGCTGTATTATAATGAAATTTTGGTAGGAGGGAAGGCTTTATTAAAACAATTATCAAAACATGGCATTGTTTTACATATGTTAAACAAAATTGGCCAAACAAGGATGATAATACACTGACAAGCTAGGGAATACGAATCTAACGGACTAATGTCAGTCACTATATCAATTGGACACCGAAGTTTATAAACTTCCATTTAGTAGTTATAGAAAAGGTATTCTATGTCTTGGGCAGGGAAGAAATAAAAAGGTTAATTATCTCCACATATTAGATCTCAAATTCTAGTGCTGGTAGGACAAAAAGAAGTTTCCAGGAGTAGCTGTCACTCTTGCTAAAACACAGGCTACCAGTTAGCCAGGACAAACTGGATGGAGTTTTCAGATGATGTAGCTAAAGAGTGGGCACTCCAGAGTGTTACACTTGTGTAAGGACCCAGAAGCAGTGGGTGAGGCTAAATATTTAGGCCCCATTTTAGAGAAAGTTAACTTTATTAAATAGACAATCATTTGTATGAAGACAACTTTATGACTTTGTATTTTAAAATCACTACAGAAGGTTTGCAGTAAAATGAACCCTACAGTGTACTTTCACGAACCATTATCCAGTACCATGGAGGATATTTGCCTATTCAAATTTTCTGAGATTTTAAGGAAGGTGTACACCTATCTTTATCTAATGAGCTGGGCATTTTGATAATCTCTAGACCCACTAAACGTGGTCGGTTAATGATCCTTCCAAATAGGGGTCACCCGGGGGGAGAAATGAGTCCTGGGTAATTCCTTTGGCAACCCATTAATGCTGTCATCAGCCGTGTCTGAGTGCATTTTTGATCTGAAGAGGTGATAGTGCTTCTCAAAAAGTTTTGTGTGGTCATGAGACTAATCCAAGAACCTGAAAGTCATTTCCAGCTTGCCCATGCCACCACACTTTCCACAAAGCTACACTTCGTCTGAGTTCTTGGCCCTGGTCAGGGTTCTGAAAGCAGTTGCAAATGTGTAGTCTCCGAGTGGGCACTTGTTTGTAAGTATTTATTTTCCAGAGCCCACTCAGGAGCGGAGAGAAGCTATAGGCTGTTATAGAGGACGGAACAATGAGTCAAAACAACGCCTCCCCATTTTTACACTAATGCATTGGGGAAATCCCCAGAACACTAGCGTTTGATTATGAATGGAGATTGCTTTGCGGTGAGAGGGCTGGTGTCAAGAGGCTAACAAAGAAAACTTGGATATCCTGGCTTGGCCAAAGCACTAAAAGTCACTGGATGAACTACTGAATTCCCACTCAGAAAATCTTTCAGAAATGATTTCTAAAGCAAAAAAGTATTGTTGAAAAGTATTTATTTACACCATAGTCATAAAACATCCAGTATCTGAACTTCAGTTAGTGGTTTTATGTTAGAATAAATCATTTATGTTTCCACGACTATTAAGAGCTAATAACCAAACAAGTCAGCTCCAGTAACATTATTTACATTCTTATCTGCAATTTGACTACAAAGGTAACACTTTTAAGTCACAAAACAGAGCATACAAAAATATACTTTCTAAAAAAAATTCCAAATATTAATAGGCAGATATATACAGCCATACTAAACCCAGGGAGTGATTTTTGTTTCCATAGTAAGGCAACCCATTTACATGCAGACCCTGTAACATTGTCTACATCACACAAGGCACCAAGGACACTTCCAACACAATTGCATGCATCCTAGTTTCAGAGAATATATGTACATGCCCTTTTAAATAAGTTAACCTCTGACTCATTTCAAGAGGTTATAAATGCTTTACCTTTTTTTCCCAAAGGTTCATAACTTGGAGAACAGTGCACATCAAAAATACACAAAATCTGAGTGGATATACACTGCAAAAATAGTCTATACGTTTCTCAACTCAAAAAGGAGCAGATATTGCTATGTCCCTCCTATCACATTGCACTTCTGTTCTCTGAGTTTATAATACATATTGCTTAAAGGGTTGAGAGGACTAGATAAGCTTTGATTCACTGCTCTAGGGCCACAGAATGCAGCACAAAGACCATGCTTTACTCACTGTACAGCGTCCCCCAAATAAGTCCCAAGCCATAAAGTGCACATCAGTTTTGCTTCTGTCTTTGCTGTCCCCACCTGAAGGGATCAGCATCTCCCAACCTACTGTAGAAAACGTGTCAGGTCAACTCTGGCACTCAGAGACAACCACCTGTAGTTGGTCAAAATAAGAAAGGGGCGAGCAAAACCTAGTCAAACCACCCTTTAAAGCAGGGTCAGGCCTCAGCCCTCTAGGCCAGGCATCCCCTCCAAACCCCCTTCCGAACCTCCCCATGACTTTGGGGAGATTGATAGTCAACTCACCAAAGAGAGGCTAAGGTAGACTAACGTTTAGGAAGGACCTGCTTCTAAGTGGAAAGGGGGACAGTGCTGGGCTCCGCCAAGGCTCTTTGCCCAAGGAAGGAAGGCAGGAGAGGGTGGTAGTGTTTGTTGCGCAGTTCCAGTGGACCAAGGGCCTCCGGGCCCTCAAGGAGCTGGTGTTTCAGCCTGACTCTCTCATCTCAAGGTGTCCTGGTCCTAGAGGAGCAAGTGGCCAGGGAGCCTCCACCAATAGTGCTGCCGTTGCTACACAGGGGCACCCCAGCCTGGGTGCCCCCCGTGCATGAGGCCGTAGATGCTGCTGGCATCGAGGAGGAGGGGACACTGCTTTTGCGCTCCTTCTGTCTCAGATGGATCTTGGTGTGGCGCTTCCTCTCATCACTCCTGGCAAACTTGCGGCCGCAGTAGTCACAGGCAAAGGGCTTCTCGCCAGTGTGGGTGCGGATGTGGGTAGTGAGGTGGTCACTGCGGCTGAAGTTGCGCATGCAAATCCGACACTGGAAGGGCTTGTGCCCGGTGTGGATGCGGATGTGCCGCGTCAGCTCGTCGGAACGGGAAAAGCGCCGGTCACAGCCTTCTGCTGGGCACGGATAGGGCCTCTCATGCACTGGTGTCTTGCTAGGCCTGTTTGGGTACTTGCGAGGCCTCAGAATGGGCCGCAGCGGCAGATGGTGAGGGTTATAGGCAGCGGCGGCGGCTGCTGCTGCTGAGCTGCTACCAGGCAGCCGGGGTCCCTCGCTGCCTCCACTGGCCCCTGGCCCTGTGGCCCCAGCACTTGGGCCCCCCAGAGTAAAGTTGCGGATGGTAGAAAGTGGAGTAAGTGGAGGGGGGACTCGCAGGGAGTCCAAGGGGCAGGGAAAGGGCTTTCGGTCTGGGCCAGCTGTACCATGTAGGTCTCTCTGGCACTGTGATGGGAAAAATCCAGGATAGTCTGGGATCATGGGAAAGAGACCTGGGTCCGTGGTTGGCTTGGGGGATGGGTAGGAAGGAGGCGGTGGGTAGCCCAGAGAAGAGGAGGTGGAGGTGGTGGGTGCCGACAGGAATGCTGAGGGGTCCTGGTAGAGGTCTCCTGCACAGCCAGAATAAGGAGGAGGTGGCTGTGGTGGAGAGTAGAGGTGGTCCAGGTCAGGCTGGGTCTGGGACATGGTGCACACACCCAGGTGTCCTGTGGCCAGTGGGTTGGGGGACGCGGAAGTGACGTTGGATGAGGCTGTGGTCGAAGCTGGAGAGGCGACCCCTTGCAGGATGCCTGCACTCACAATATTGATGATGCCTTCTGGGTAGCAGCTGGCACCAGCGTACTGGGGGTCAATGGAGAACTTGCCCATGTAAGTAAAGGTCTGGTTTCGGGGTGCAGAGACGGGAGCAAAGCTGCTGGGATATGGGAGATCCAAGGACCTCTTCTCTCCAGTCATGTCAATGTTGATCATGCCATCTGGGGAAAAAGAAGAATGGAGGTGGAGCAATGAGAACACAGCCAAGAATCCCTTCTCACTCCCTCTCACAGGGGTCCATTCCCAAGGCTTAGGGACCTAGCACTTTAGAGCCGAGTGGGGAAATCGCTGCTCAGAGACAGTAAGAGGCTAGCCCAAGATCCCACTGTGGTAGCCAACACAGTCTGGGACTCCAACTACCACCAGGAAAGCAAGATGAGCTACTCCCAACTCCCCACACACAGCCATCTGTGGCTCTAGTCCCCAATAAAAACACCCAATAATAGCAACAACAATATTAAAAATTCCCCATCTGCCTGGAACTTCTTTCCCTCTCCTCTCCTTGGGGGTCCCACGGGTGGGGCGCCGGGCAGGCACCACCCAGGCGACTGATCCCAGCCAGTGCCGCAAAGGTGCCCAGCTCTACAGGGGAGCCGGAGAAGGGGGTTCGTGATTTCTAGGCTGCTCCCCATCTCCGGCGCCTTCTCTCCCTCCCTTTCTTGCTGCGTTTCTGCCGAAGGTTGCTTGCTGGAGGGAATTCGGCGCTGCGGTGGAAGGAGTTTATAGGTTTCCTTTCCCTTTCAACCTTGTCCCACAAACGCGCGTCCCCGCCCCAGCCCAAGCCCAGTGGTGGGGCTTCTAGAAACGCTCGGGGGCCACGGGAGGCTACTTTTCACCGCGTCGCCAAGAAAACCAGCAGCACCGGTGCCTCCGCAGGCTTCCCTCCGCAGCCGAAGAACCGTTTCCCGCCGTGTCCCGCCCTCCTTCCGACCCCTCCTCCCCGCCTTGCCAACCCCCTCAACTTCGCGGGCGGAGCGCAGGTGGGAGCGCTCCTTAAGGCTGCACTGATTGCGCGTTCCGAGACTTTCCCCGGGTCTGCTCTCTCTGGGAGCAGGCAGCGGATTCTTTCCTCTGGAGCTTCGCCGCCGCTCGGCTCTCCAGACGCGCAGCTCTCCTCCAAAGCCCCGAACTTTCTCGTCACTTTGCCCCTACGCCGGGAGAGGGGAGGCCGGGCTGCC